GGGGGGGTCCGGGTGCTTCTTCGAGTGGGGGGAAGAAACTCCGGGTTAGCTGGGACTCCATCAGCGTGCGGTCCTCCGGGAGCGACCTCACGCGAGATCTCGCCACTACCTCCTCGATAGGGTCTTGGAGCAGCCGCAGCAGCAGTGGGGGCACCGGTGACTGCGGCTGGAGGAGGGGTATTCCCCCCCGGAGTGCCGGTGCGCCGGTCGCCGACTCGTCGTCTAGGCCGCAGCGGCAAAAACAGCGACGACGACCCGGTAGCGCGCACGATATCGTATCGCCACCCCCGTCCTCGTTTTCTTCGCCTTGCGCTTCTTCGTCAGCGTTAGGCCGACAGGCGGGGGCTGGAGTGCGGGCGGCGCCGAGTACCGGGGGTGCGGGAGCATGCCGTGAGCTCGGGGTGGCAGCGCTTGACCGCCGTCGTTGCCGCTCGCGATCTGCGATTGGATCTACGAGTGGATCTACGATGGGATCTTCCGTGGGATCTACGATGGGAGCCACGATGGAATCTACAATGAGATCTACGATTGGATCTTCGGTGGGATCTACGGTGGGATCTACATCTAAAGCTACAATGGGATATACCATGGAATCTACGACGGGTTCTACGCCGGGGCCTATGAGTGGAGGAGGTCCACCACTCGCCGGAGACAAGTACCACCCGCGGGTGAAGACGAGAGCGACCGCTGTTCCAGGGTCCCGCCGCAGGGTGATGCACCCTCCCCTTTCCGGCGGAGGGACAACGACAACAACAGGAGTAGCGAAGAAGACAACAGGAGTAGCGGACTGCCCCCGGAACGCTGCTGTTGCCGATGCCGTTTCCGAGTCCGGACGACGACGACCGCCGCCGACGGCGATGAAACCGCCGAACGCCTCATTTTCTCGTAGCACCAGCAGCAGCCACCACGACGTTGCCACGGGTGCTGCTGACGGCATCGGTTCACTCCGGAGCGGCCGCGGTAGCAGAAGAACTACCGGCGGGAAGCCGGGGTCACGGTGCTTGCGGCAGGGGGACGATGGCGAAGAGGAGACCGTTCCGATGGAAGGCCTCAAGGCCACGACGAGGCGGTGTCTCTCGCCGACAAAGGGGACGGTCTTGAAAGCGTCCGCCGCTGACAACGGGGGATGGGACCGCAGCAGCGGCGGCCGCTTTCAAGAC